CCCACACCCTCACACACACCCACGCCCCACACCCACACTCACACCCACACCCACACCCACACCCACACCCACACCCACACCCACACCCACACCCACACCCACACCCACCCCACCAACACCCGCACCCGCACCCGCACCCACACCCTGCCACTCGGGATATCTTTGTTTGCTTTTATGAAATAGAAGAAATAGTAACTTTTAAATGAAGCTGAAAAATGCATAAGAAAACGTCTGTTTTTACGTTAAAACCTAGGCGAGGCGAGGCGAGGCGAGGCGAAGTGACAGCGACCGAATCGCCCGCACGGCTAGGCGGTGGCGAGGCGTGTGTAGATCTGGGTGTGAGACAAAAGAAGATCAACACCCACACCCCACACTCACCCAAATGAAGAGCAAGATGCTAAGGATTTGTTGATTCGTATCGCCAAAGAATAGCAATAGCCGGAATCAAAACAAATAAGACCAATTTTTTTGGAAAACCAACGACCGTATGGAAAAGGTCATTGTTAGATTTATCTAAAAACGACTTATTTCTTCTTATCGTAAATATTCGTTGTGTTGTTTTTATCACTATTTACCGGTCGAAGAACGCATATGTTGTTTTTCTTTTTCTCAATATGTTGACACATTTGTATTGTATATTACTCAAGGTCGAAATGCCATAAATTCAAACTGGAGCAGCACCAACGTTTAAAGTACATAATTGAACCAGACTTTTGATGGACGTATATCATTACAAAACGATTTACTGTGAGAATGGCAAGATAAAATTTGAAATTTACAAAGTTTTGTTTTGATTCGAGCATTAAGAAAACTCTTATTTTAATATTCAAACATTCTGTTTATACATTGAGATATATCGAGTATGATATGTCTTCTTCCTTACACAAAGAACTGCTCTCTTCTTTTTTGGTTTGATAATATTGTCTTACGACTTGTATAGAAAGAATTGTTTTTCTATAGTGTATTTGTGTTGAATTAATCATTGCTGAAACAAAGAAAAAAGATCAGTACTGTTAAGATTCATATTGATTTTTTTTGATGTAGTACGAATTGCTTTCGGTATTTCAAAATTTTATTTAATTAGTTTAGAAAAGAAAAGCCAATAATAGACATTGAGAAGAAAAAAACAGACTCTAATACACTTTTTTCAATATAAGCCAGGAGTTGCTCAAACATACATCTGCTTGTTTAACTCTTGATTAGATTTTTTGAATCCATTTGTTAATATTATTAAGTGTATTTCGTGCTTCTGGATAATAGAGAAAAAATATTGGATAAATATGCATTAAATGTAAACCTTCTTCAAATGTTACATCGACACCGGCATCTTGAGCCTTTTTTACAAGTCTTCTGGAATCATCTTCTATTATATCAGCTGTGCCTACATTAATATACATCGGTGGAAATCCTTCGAATGTACCAAAAAGAGGACTAAAAAAAGAACTGTCCGGCGATAATTCAGGATGATTCGTACCCATTAGTATTTTAACCATCCACTTGGTGGTATTAGTGCTTAGCATTACATCTGTAAGACGATTACGTGTATAACTTTCACCAGATAGTGAAAGATCAGTCTGGGGAGAGAGGACAATAACACCACGAGGTACCGATAATTGACGCGCAATTATAGCTTGCACTGTTAGCAGAGCGAGACCACCGCCAGCTGAATCACCCATAATAACCATTTGAGATGGTGAAATATTATGGAGAAGAAGAGCGCGATAGATTGCAGTTGCATCGTCAAGAGCTGCAGGAAATGGATGCTCAGGAATAAGTCGATATTCCACATGAAGTATGGTTACATTGAAAAGCTGAGACAAATGACATTCAAATCCACTATAACCTGTCAAAATGTAAAACAATCTTCTATATGCTGATATGTTTCAATTATCCTCAAAAGTTCCTGCTTGAGATTTTTTTATGACGTAATAAAAACTATTTAACAAACTATCTCTTTATGTGAACATATTAATTAACTTACTATGAATATCACCTGATATATATCCCCCACCATGGAAGTAGAGTACTATTTTATTGGATTCTTTCTGTAACTTTTTCTGATGATGATTAACCCAAAAGGCATCTACCGTATGTGTATCATGCTCAAACACTTGTCTAGTCACTTGACAGTGAGTTGGTTTAGGAATTGCAGCAGCAAGCGAGACGCTTGAACGTATTTCTTTGACAATAGAAAGTGGATCTCTTAATGGATCAATTTCTGGTATCAGATGCATCCGCAATATTTCTTCAAAGGCACGATAGTCTGCACTAAGTGTCGGTCGAGCTTGATCGGATAGCAGACAATGTTTCAATGATAATGTGGAATGTAGTAGACGCATTAAAACATATTGATGATTTGTTGAACCATATCGCAGAGGAACAGCAATAGCCACAATTAAAACGAATAAAACCAACTTCTTCAGAAATCCGTAAAAAGACATCGTTTTTACCCTATAAGAAAAATGATTTCTTCTTTCATGAGCATATACTGTGTTATTTTCATCATTACTTACCTATCGAGTAAAACACGTGCTTTTTTCTTTCTTGCTTTTTCTCCTAATGTTAATGTTTTTATGTCGTACTTTTATACTTGACGTGCAGACAAACACAACGAAATATTTGTCAAAATAAAATTGATAAATATTGATGAAGGGATCATGGTTGACTTCAATGAACTGCAACGATAACAAGAACTATATTTAGATTAAAATACTCAGAAGGATAAAGATACATTTTGAATCTTTCATGCTAATAAAAAAAATCATTGATAATAGTTAGCTAAATTATACCAGCATCAGATCAAAAAAAGATTTAATTGAACGGACACAAAGTGTGTATTTATTAAGTTAATCATTATTAGAAAAAGAAAAGGATAACTTCATTTGAAAAATTCATCGCAGAAGTCGAATGAATATTTTCGATTAAACAAAGTATTTATACATCAGTTTTTATTATCTTCATTGCTGAATTTGGTCGAATGTGATTTACCAGCTTGTTCAGAATTGATTACATAATCTTGAATAGCATGTTGGATAGCCCCATTTTGACCTTTATAATGTCTTGATTCACCAAGAATATAATCACATTCGTTTCGACCTTTCCATACCCATTTCAATCTGTGTACTCGACCTTTAGTTTGTATATTACATGTTCTACCACATACTTCAACTGCTTGACTATCACTCTATGGATACAAATAATAAATATAAGTAGCTACCCTAATAGCTATTGTTGACCAATCGATATCAATTGTCATTACTTATTCTATTCAAATACTTTGTACGATTGACAAAAACGTATTTTGTTGGTCTGATATACACAGACAATATGTCATCTTTATAATCAGGCAATTCAATACAATATTTTATATAGTTGATAGAATATGAGGTAATTGCAAAAACAGTTCGCGAATAAAGTCGAATCGAAACTCATCATTCTTTTGGCTAAATTCTTAGCAATTTTTCACTGTTTTCTCAATAATAGTCCAAAATCAATCGGTCGAGTCGATAATTCATATAAAAAAAAATTACGAATAATTAGAGATCTAATTGGTGCCCATTAGCGCATTGGCTATTACTTCACGTTCACTCGATCACATTGACTTCTATTCATCAAGCAGGTATATTACACTGTTATAATTGTAATCGATGAAATTTTGTTTTATTACGCGAGGAAGTTTCGAGTCACACTAGAGCTCATCCAGTAAAGTCTTCGGGAGTCGGATGTTAAACAGCAAAAAGAAATTTTACGTCAGACTAGTAGAAAAACAGGGTGTGGGTGTGTGATGTTCATGTCTTTCATCTACACCCACACCCACACCTTCATTTTTGTGAAATTCCAATCATCGAGACGTATTTTTTTATATAGATTCCCTTAACATGCCTGAAAAGCCGAGACTGAGTGATATCTATTGCTTGAAAGCGATTTGTTCGTTCTTTATCAAAACTTTGATGAAAGGTAAACAGAGTAAACTGACATGCTGTTTTTCGTGTCTACAAACACTTAACTTGGAGACAATGGATCTTCTTTCTTAAAAATGTCCAACAAATGTTCATAAATCAAGAGAAATAGGCAAAAATGAGTCGAAGCATATGATAATGAATTAGAATTGAAGATATTCAAGAAAACATTCTACACACCATATGCAGCAATTGGAAAAATTACTTCAAAAGTACTGTTTTCTAAGAATATTTGAGAACTTAATGCTTATGAATGAATACCTAGAATTGTTCTCTATCTCTAGTACAAAAACTAATTTGTCGTATAGAACGATAATAGAAATGTAAGGTTTGTTTTCAAGGACTTAGTGGACATCCAAATATTTGGGGAACGTTTTCGATTCCGATACGATTCCTAAATTGTTGGAGCCGATTCCCAAAAAAGTCGATTTTACCTATTTCTAGTGGGCATGGGTGGGGTGTGGGTGCGTGTAGTTGTGGGCAAAGGGAAGATCAGAGCTCACACCCACATCCAAGATAGGTCGATTTGTTTCTCGATTTATCAAATATGAGCAAAGTAGAATGAATGAATGCAGCAGAAGCATTCTTCTATTTCTTTTAAAATTGTTGTATTTCGCTATGGATGTGGAGAATAGCTTTCAAATACCAACAGAGGTTACTTAGGCTTTCAGGCTTCCTTTGCAGTAATCTGATCGTCTTAGTCAACATTTAACTTTGTTTTTATTGAGCAAATCATGAGTCAGTCGTCATTATTAGTTGTATTCGAAATATCATCATGGTACGGCTTGTTAGAATCGGATGAGGATATCGTTATCAATAAAACCAGAGATCTGAGCGTAGCATTCATATAAGACGAATTTGACCTTTGCGAAGAAGGACAAACAATATCCACGGNAGTCGACTGTGCGACTTTGGCTTAAAAGATATGAAACAACTGGTGACGTAGAAGTTATACAAAAATCTGGTCGTAAACGGTCTACAACGGAAAAACAAGACACGATAATTCAATCGATGGTAGCTCAACGTCCAACCGAATCTGTTGGTCAAATTGCGTATAGATTATCAAAGAAACGTATAAAAATTAGTGAAACCACATTAAGAAGAAGATTTGAAGAGGCTGGTGTACAATCAATGAAGCCAACTTCCAAACCACTGCTAACTAATGACCATATTAAAAAAAGACTCCAGTGGGCTATAAAACACAAAGATGTTGATTGGAATCAAACTGTTTTTACAGATGAAAGTTCATTTCATATGAAACAAGTGATAAGACGTGTGTGGAAAAAGCGTGGTGAAAAATATTATGTTTCAACAATCAAACATCTTGCCAAGGTTCACGTTTGGGGTTGCTTCAGCAAAAATGGATTCGGAAAGCTGGTATTATTTAGACGAACATTGAATTCAAAGCTTATGTGGAAAATTTACCAGAATGGACTCCTACCCTCAGTAAAAAAATGGCTTGGTGATAATAGCAATCATTGGAAACTTTTAGAAGATAATGATCCGAAACATACCTCAAAAACGAGTAAAACGTTTAAGGCCAACAATGGCATGCAATCATTACCCTGGCCATCGCAATCTCCAGACTGTAACCCAATCGAAAATGTATGGGCATTAATGAAGCTCAAAATAAATCAACAACCACCTACATCAATCAATAATTTCATTGCAAGAATAAAATAAATGTGGAAACCTCGGATTTAAATCCGAGCGTTATGTGTACTTCAAAACGTGAATTAGACAGATGAGTCATCCTAGAATGTGTGGACATCAAAATTATCCTGGTAAATCTTTCCTATAAACACTTGACTTCTATTGGCTATTGCTCACCCAATATGACTTGGGGGCGAATACAGCTCAAATTTGAACTCTTTCCCTTGATTTACCATAAGAAAATCGTTTTTCCTATAACTTGATTTCTATTGGTCACTGCTTAACCAATAGTATTTCGATGGAAATGGAGTACAGATTCGAGTTCTCCACGCCAGAAAACCTCGAAGCATCATCACTGTGATCGGAAGATAGACCTCTAAACGTGGATCAATTAGATCGCGGACTAAAACATAACCTAGTTCTCTTTACTTATCTTTGTGATAGGTAAGTCAACCTTCTTGTTTCGTTATGTTTTATATACCATTTTGTAGCTCTTGAAATTCGCTATCGAATGATATATAATAGTTGGGGTTTTAGTTGACTATGATAGGAAAAGTTGTTTACGAAAGCGGGAAAGGGTCGATCTTTCCATAGGGAAGGTATAGGAAAAAATGAGTATTTTTGAAATAACTCAGGAAGGGCTCGGCCAATCCTTCTCATCTTCCAACTCGACCGAGATCTTCTTAAGACTAAACTGTGTAGAAAATTTCATCGCGATCTGACTCTCCTTTCAAAAGTTATCGTGTAAACGGACGGACGGACGGACACACTGACCGATTCTAGAGTGTACTCACTTTTTCAGTACACAAAAAGAATGGAAAAATTTATCTATTGAATTTGCTGAAAAATTAGTCGATTCTATGAAAAATAGAGTAGAACTGTTAATTGAAAGAAAAGGCGATTATATCAATTATTAGGATGATGTACATATAATGTAGATTTTGTAAATAAAATATTATAAAACAACTCGTTTGTCTTCCTTATTTTTTCGATCGGGGCCACTTATGGCGATTACTGTAAAATGATGTAGGATACCAAAATTGAATGCAGTTGTATTTTATTTAAAAATTCCTCATCGAATAAAAAGCCGATGTTCAAAAGAGGATTAGGCTTGGCCGGGCTTGGTTCTTTTGAGAAAAAAGACTCACAATTAGAACATCCAAATTTCAAATATTTTCTTCGTTTTTTTTTCATTTTAAACTTACGATCGGTATTTAAATGAATTTTTTTCCTGAGAAATAAAATCTTGTCAAATTTCTTAAACATTTGATGAAACAAAAAGGCAGTCTACACAAAGGTGTCAGTGTGAGCGTAGTTGAAATAAATTTCTACGCTCACATCCGCACCTTCAAGAAAAGCTTCAACATAAGAATCGTTGGTGAATGATAAAATAAACAAAAAAAAATCTGTTCAGTTGAAGACAGCAAAATTTCTGCTTGTTTGAATATCAACTGTTGACAAATGTGCACACCCGGACGTTTCTGGGAACACTAGCTGTCTTGGTTCTCGCTTTTTCTCAGATGACGCAAGCGACGTTATCGTTGATTGTGCTTGTTGTTTACTGCAAGGTCGATGTTCATCGAAAAATTGTCGTAATTCACGACGAAATTTTGCCGAAGACCATGAATAAATTAAGAAAGCAGCACTGTCATGCAAAAGCCATAGAAATCTTACTAGACTCATAACCAGCTCTTCCCATATCTTCTTTTCCATACTCTTGATATCAGAATAAGTAACAGTTGTGTATAGTTTATGAATGGCAATGGGAAGAGTCAATGCAATTGTGAAAATCGTTTGCACAAGCGCCATACGTTGAAAATCTCGAATGCGATGATGTCTGAAGGATGGTATCGGATGCTTTTCATTGCAACAATGACGATGACGAATATTGTAAATAGTAAGAAAACTGAATGTGCCCATAAGCAAAGGGTAGACAAGACCGTGAGTAATTAAAAACATCACATCGAGAACAATTCGATAGATGCTACCCTTCTGAGCCCAACAGTCATTATTTGTTTCTGTATCGACCACAAACAGTGGCAAGATATGCGAGTAAAACATACAGGCAACAATTGGAACAATTGAAATCAAGCGTCGTGCAATTTTGACATTTGCCCATCGACGATATTTAACTTGATAGCATGATGAAGCGAAACGATCTAAAGAAGCAAGTGTAATTAGACCTGCTGAGGTCAGATAGGCTGAATAGAGAATCCAAAGACGGACTCGACACAACCACAAATAGGGCCAATCGATATTAAAACCATTGTGCAATAGACGAAATAATTGTCCAACAAGAATCTCGACTATCGTAACACACGATGCTGCCAAACAATAGTTGCAACATGAGTTGGAAATGAGGTTTGGTCGTGTAAAAAGAATCAAGTTGAGAATATGACCAATTATACTAAGAATAATCAGAGGAGGAAAACTAATTCGATAAACATGAATAGTAATACGCTCGAGAATGTAAATCGTGTCATTCAATGTAACATCCATTCTTGAAAATGAAGTTGCTTTGTTCGCTTCCTATCTGTGACCATCTGTCATGTCTGTCAAATGAGGCGTATTTATTACTTGCCTCATGCTTGTTGATTTGCCATTGACAAATAATTCAATAATCATAAAAGATAAATGTATTTGCTAGTTATTCTGACATTTTGTCATAGACACAGCGAGAAATTTCCAATGCTTTTCAGCGGTGGAAACCGTTCAAAATTTGGCAACAAGTGACAACATTTATAGAATTTTCTTGCTATGTTATGCATGATAAGTGGAGGGAAGATGTTGACTCGTTCTCTTTCAAAGCAGACAGCCAATCGTCGCCGCCAACTCTTCGAGTGAGACTAAATGGATAAAAACCAGGCATCTTCTCTAATTTGTCACTGGACTGTAAAAAATGTTGTTGAAAGTTGGACACTGTTCGGGAGAGACGGACGAATCGGAGTTCCTGAGCACGAAGGTATTTGTATCCGGAATGTCGATTTAATTATAATATGTGATTGTCTATTTGACAATTCACAATTACCGAGGGTGGAAAAGCTCAGCCTGTCGCATTAGCATCACATGAAATCATTAGAATCAATAGAGACATTAGAATTGATAAAAGCACTCGGAATCAACTATTTTTCCTTGTGTAATTCCGTGAGAACATTTCAAAAAATAAATTTTTATTTTCCTTTTTTTTGTGAAACAGAAGATCACTTTCCCTAATCACAATAATCAATATGAGAGTACGAAAGTCACCTGTTATAAAATAATGAAGAATTTGTGCGTTTATTAAAGAAAAGATACCGTTCAACATAAACGATATCGTATAAAATTTGATCAAAGATTTTCGAGTTCGAGAAATTCAAGTTTATGATCGATTTCTCAAAATTGCGTACTTTAGTTTTTGGTACGCCAAAAGACTATTTTAGAATACTTGACCGAAAAATCAAGTAAACGTATCGACACATTAGAAGATCTAGAAACTTCTGTTATGTCCCTTGAAAAAAGTCATTTGTTGGTGGCCTCGCCGATACGCTTCAATTTTGATTCAGTTTTGCCTAATGGAGACTACCGTTCGTAACAAGTATTCTGATAGTAATACAATCAGCGTCTCCTAATATCTTGGTACAAAATTCAATAGCATTCTTTTTTCTACAGAGAAAGACCTGTCACGAGCAACATTTAATCTTCTCAATAATTAAATAACTAAAAACAAATTAATCTTTTTCTGCCAAATTTATTTAAGTCAGTTGCTTATGTAGACTTTCTATTAGTATAGATGGAACTCGTCCGCAGTGAAGTCTATCATAGGCATAGTTATTAGGCTCAGCCTAACTTCATTGGATATGGCGGTCTAGCGAAGAAAGGGTGTGGGTATGTACATAAAATAGTGGAATTTCCACATTCACCGAATTCTGGTAGAATTTCAGCATTTTGTCAAAGTTCTGCTGGAAAAACAAAATACTAAGCATAATCTTGTGTTAGATGAAGGGATATGTGTATATAATTAAGTACAAAGCTGCTAAGAAATCAAGTGTATACCATTTAAGACAATTCTGCTTGCTAAACAGAATTCTATCGAAATTCTGCCGAAGAAACGAAATTCTAAGGAGAATTTTGATTTCAATGTAGTGACAGTAGTATATAATGAAGCATATAACCGTGCTAGGGTAATTGAATGAAACAGCAAAATTCTTGAATTCTGCTTGTGAGAACTCTGCCCAAGGGGGAAACGATGTACTCTGGTACTCCGACTCAATTTCCTGGACTCCCACTGTACTTCACTGTACTCTGTGTATTTCGTATACTCCAGAAGTACGAGAGTACGACATCTTTCCCTTGAATCTGTCACTGTTGGAAAAAACCATGTTTACAAACAAATGCCTAAGATTTATTCGATAGCATCAGAAATCTTCCCATGTGAAAAGAAATACAAAGTTCAATGAGCAAATTGAAAGTCAAACCGCTTATTTCCCAAGTGTTTATTGGCCGCCAAATATGCATCCTGTTGTTGGACTGTCATCGCGTGCCACTGTCTTCGATGGTATTGATTGCGTAGTATAAAATAAATTTTTGTTGCCAGAAACAGGACAATGTTAACACTCAAAATAATGAGACATACTAAATTTCCACGACGATAATTGGGTGCATCGTCCTTCCGATAGATATTCGAGCCAGCAATCGATCCCAAATTCACCATGATATTATTTATCGCTATTGAAACTGTTCGTGTTCGTACGGAATTCGAGTTTTCCGATGTCCATGCAGCAAATATGGCTTGTGGATAGGGATAGGAAAGAAGACCAACCGTGATACCATATTTAACCCAATGATTTGTACTGTCGGGTAGTGTGATCATCGCGATGAGAAATGGAAGAGACCAGAATTGTGCTGACATTGAAATAAATGTGCGCTGTCCTTTAATCCATTTCGCCACACGTGTTGTAAGCAAAAGCTGTACAATAATCATCACATAGACAGGCATGGTTAATAGATTCGTTTCGAATGTAGAAAAACCAAGAGCACGTAAATTTAGTGTT